GAATCTATGCCACTAGAATTTAAAAACCAGCAGGATCCTGCAAACTGAATAGATTTTCAATGGAGTTTCAGATCATAATAGATGAGAGAAGGAGCCTGTTGATCTACTTTCTATTGTTATTAAATAAAGAAACAAAAACACTTTGATTTCTGTAAGATGATTCCTCTAGGTTAAAAGGCACTCAAAATATATAGTAACCATAACAATTAATTGCAGAATATCAATAATCATGAGGATGCTTCAGGACCCAGCAATATTTGATTCTATTGTATGCATACTCAAGTTTGAGTTGACTTTGTTGTTGTTGTTGCTGTAGTTATGTGCTATCCATTCCTTTACAGCTCAGAATGACGCAATGCACAACAAACAAAACTCTGTCTAGTCCTGTTCCATCCAGTAAAGAGTTCCTGTGCTTGAGCCCATTGTTGCAGCACTGGATCAATCCATCTTGTTGAGTGAGGGTCTTCCTCTTTTTTGCTGTCTCTTGACTTTACCAACCATAGTGTCCGTCTCCAAGGGGTGCCACCTTCTGATAACATGTCCAAAGTGTGTAAAATGAAGTCCTTGCATCTGAGGAGAATTCTGGATGAACTTCTTCCAGGCTGTGCTTTGGTTTATCTTTTGGGCAGTCTATTGTACATTGAATATTCTTCATGAGCACCACAATTCCTCTTTGTTCTTCTTTACTCCATATCAAATTTTCACATGCATATGAAGCAATGGAAAATACCACAGCTTGGGTAAGGCACAACTTAGTCCTCATAATAATATCCTTGCTTTATACTATAAAGAAGTTTTGTGCAGCAGATGTATCCAATGCAATGTGCCTTTGGTCTTTTGGCTGCTGCTTCCATGAGCCTTGATGGTGAAGGCAAGCAAAATGAAATCCTTGACAACTGTAATCTTTTCTCCATTTGTCATGATGTTATAGATTTGTCCAGTTGTGAGGATTTTGGTCTTCCTTGCATTGACATGTAAGCCATATTTAAGGTTGAAATCCTAGATCTTAATCAGCAAGTGATTGAAGTCTTAATTTCAGTAAGCAAGGTTATATCATCTGCATATCTCAGATTGTTAATAAACTTCACTCCCATCCTGGTGCCACATTCTTCTTTAATAATCCAGCTTCTCTGATTATTTGCTCAGCATACGATTGAATAAATATAGTGAGAGGGTACAACCCTGCCCTACACCTTTCTTGATTTTAAACCATGTACACTTCCCTTGTTCTGTGCACACAGCTGCCTCTTAATTCAGGTAAATGTTTCAAAGTAGCACAATGACACATATTAAAATTTTCTTTCTTCTCAAAGCTATCCATAGTGTGTTATCATCCACACAGGCCAATGCCTTGGCATAGTCTCTCTAAAACGCAAGTAATCATTTTTCAGGTATTTTTTCTCAGACAAGGTACATATGATATCTGCAATGTAGGCATGTTAGGGCATCAACATACTGCCTAATTATTATTGGATGATCATCAGTAAAATTTTATTTTCAGGTGATATCAGTGATATTGTTCTATACTGTTAGTATTCTTCTGGGCTTCCTTCATTTGGAATGGGTACAGTTATGGATCTCTTTCAGTAAGTTAGCCAAGTCGCTATCTTCCAAATTTTCTTGCATAAATAAGTATGTGCTTCCAGTTCTTCTTCAGCTTGTTAAGACATTTCCATTGGTTCTCCAGCAATTCGGAGACTTGTTTGGGGCTAATGGTTTCAGTACAGTTTGAACTTCTTCCTTCAGTACTATATGCGCTTGCTCATATGCTATCTTTTGAAATGGTGAAATGTGGACCAGATAGTTTTGGTACAGTGACTCTGTGTTTTTTATCCATCATTTTTTTATTATTTCTCTATTATTCAATATTTCCAATAGAATATTTCAATATTATACCTGGAGGCTTAATTTTACCTTGAATTCTTTCCATTTCTCCCCTTTGGTGTTTAATTCTAGATCCTTGCACGTTTCATTATAATATTTCTTTTTCTTCTTGAGCAGCCTTT